GTATTTTCAAGGATTTCCAAGTATTCCTAGGTATTCCCAGAGTATAACCAAGTATTTCTAGGTATTCTCAAAGTATTTCCAGCAAAGTGTACAGTGATTTCCATGAGTGATTTACCCCTCGGTTTGTCCTATTCACAAGTTAAGCATTCTGTCTTCAATCCCTAAATTCTTTGAGCAGTGCGTTGTAAAAATCCTTTCAAAAATATTTCATTGATTGTGATTGTGATTAGTCAATAGTCCAGTTTTACAGCCGGTAGATCTGTTGACACGAACCTGTTACTTTTTACAAATTTTATAAATTCGTGATTTGATAACAATGCAGAAACTCATGCAATATACAGAGTTGTCGTTGTGTATGGAAACGGCTCAATATTTCAGAATGCACTTAGGAAAAATGTACAATATTTCCTACCTGGGAGTTTTTGGGAATGCCCGATTCAATGGTGGTATTTGCATTGTTGCCTAGTTCACGGTTTCTAAGATGCCGTATGTTACTTGATTTTTCCAAATGAAAGTTTCTCTTGATTTTTATTGTAATAAGTAATTAATTCAGTGTCCCAAGATTACTGAAACCTCTAAATGCCAAACATCCATTTGACTTGGTTTTTGAAATATGACAACACAGTTTTTTGTTAAAATGTATATGGGAACGGTTTAGTATTACTGAACAGGCTTCAGAAAAATGTGATATATGCCGAGGATAATGCGTATTCAAGATTTATAGGCAGGCTGGTAGGCCCAGGTAGGAAATCTTCATTTTTTTAAAGCCTGTTCTGAAATACTAGACTGTTTCCATACATTTCAACAAAAAACTGTGTTTCCATACATAATGACAACCTTGTATACTAACTTCATTAAAGCCTTTGATAAGGTAAACTATAACATCCTTCTGTCAAAGCTCTCAAGTTATGCCGTTTCTGGATTTTAACTTCCATGGATGAAATCTTACCTTACTAGCAGATTGCAGCAAGTCAAGATTGATGGCTATCTTTCTTCTCTTTTCCATCAATCTTCTGGGGTACCTCAAGGCTCTCACTTGGGCCACTTTTATTCAGCTTATCTTTCTTCAGGTGACGTCAGCTCAAAACATACTTATTCTGCAAAACAATCTTAACATTGTTTTTGATTCATCATCTTCATCATCATAAATCAGCCTTGTCTCGTCTACTGCTGGACATAGGCCTCTCTTAAACCTAATCCATCTTACTCAGTCTTGGGGATATTGGATCCAATTTGTAGATATCCTCTCGATATCATCTGTCCATCGAGTCGGCGGTCTACCCCGGCTTCTGTGTGCAGCATCTCTAGGTCGCCACGCCACTCCAATATCTTCTTCGTCCACCTATCATCTGTCATTCTTGCGACGTGGCCTGCTCACTTCCAGTTTAGGTGTGTTATTCTCTGAACAGCATCTGCAACTTTAGTTCTTCTACGTATCTCTTCGTTGTGGATTCGGTCTCGCAACGTCACATTCAACATAGCTCTTTCCATGGCTCGTTGGGTAACTCTTATTTTGTCGATCGTTTTTTGTGTCAATGTTAATGTTTGTGAGCCGTATATCAGTACTGGGAGGATGCACTGGTAAACTTTACACTTGAGGCACACTGGGATGTCTGATTTGAATACATGTTTCAACCGGCCGAAGGCAGGCCATGTTAGTCCTATTCTTCGGCTAAGCTCACAGGTTTGGCTATCTCTGCCGATTCGAATTTCATGTCTTAGATATTTATACGATGTTATATGTTGGATTTCTTTTTCTTCTTTTTCAGGATTACAGCTAAGGACCAGATTCATTTGTCCTAAATTGGGTTTTGGTGATATTAATTTTTTATCCAATTTTTTGGGAAGCTTACTAGGGGCCGTTTGTGATTTCTACTTTCCATCTTGGTTTAGGTTTGAGGGTTTTAGCATTTTCTGTCACGCTGGCTAGTGCGGGTTGATAGGAGAATACTGGGAATTTAATTTCCTCAATTTCCCATTGGTACGGTTATCCCGCCGATATTCGGTCGCCAGAGCCTCGTCTGTTATCTAGCAGGGTGCACCGGATAGTTGGGTACCATCCACTGCTTGTGCAGGTGAGGTTGACATTTGGACTGGTCTTATCCTTTTGCCTTCGTCCTTTGCACCCCTCTGATTGGTGTCACCTTAATGACATGTCCATCAACACTGATAAGTGTTGGAGTATAAGATTCAGTATTCACCCATAAGGTTCCCTTTCAGTATTGCTCAAATAATGTTTACTGGTCTGAAGTTTCTATCATCAAAGATCTTGGTTTCTATCTAGATACCTAATAGGTTAATGTTCACCGAGCATTTTGAATTGGCAGGACTAATAGAATGTTGAGTTTTATTAAAGAGCTACTATGAACTTTACAAGTATACGCCTCATCAAAATTCTTTACACATCACTAGTCAGATCCATTCTTGAATTTTCATGCTTAGTTTGGTCATCTTCCTATTAGATCTACATCAATAATCTTGAGATTGTTCAACACGAATTTTTCAATTTTGCCAGCTACAAACTTTCTCTGAGGTGTGATTCCCAGTGAGGACCAGACTATGACTTACTTAGAATTAACTACTCTTTTTCGCAGAAGGAACTACTTTAGTGTCTGTTTTGCTTTTAATTTCCTTAACTACTACATGAAAAGCCACAAATGTCTTGAATGTTTTCATCTACCTACACAAAGTTATCGGATACGAAGTAAATCTTTACTGCAAATTCCTTGTTTTTGAACTTGGTACTTACCCAAGGTTCCTAAAGTTAATAGGTTTTCTGATAATGGCTTGATGATGTCATCTGGAGTGCCTTATGAAGATTTGCATTATGTTGAGCACCCCTCATGATGTAATAAAAGTTATCAGGCAACCTACCTCTGTCAAACAATATTGGTACCTACTTACCATTCAGTCCTGTTAATAATTTTTATCGACTCTGGTTTCGATAGTCTCGCGATTTTTTTTCTATTTATTGGCTAATTTTAATCCAATCCAATCAAACAACTTAATTTCAATATAATCTTAGTGAAATAAGGCTTAGATTATGGTCAATTAAATCTTCCACAAGTGAACAAAAAAAAATGTTTCTAGGGCCAATACCAATTTTGAAAAGTCCACTGAGAAAAACGTCTGTAAATTTGCCCTAAGAGCCCTGAAAACCTTACTCGAGTCTACAGTACTAAGAGGACCCAAAGCTACTTTGATAAACGTAAGTTGACATTTTTCTAAATTTTTCTCCAAAATAAAAAATAATATTGAAATTTCAGGATTTATATCAATCGATTTTCAAGTCCTTGCTAAACATACAATCAGGCAGACTTCAACATCCTTACACAGACTCGCAATGCCAAATTATGCTCTACGAGGTTTTGGTAGCAATCCTCCATCAAAACACATTTCCAGCTCTATCTTCATTGCACACCAGTCTTGGGATACTAACTAGAGGCTCTAACAACAGAAATATTTTCATATCAGGCATTTGCAACAAAGGCTTAAGGGTTTTGGAGCCTTTATGTCAACCTTTATGCCCTTCAATGTGTCTTGGAACAGAAAAAAATGACGATATTAGTGATGATGATGATAATAATAGTACCAATGGGTCTTCTATTGATAATACTGATAGTGGTGATATCGGGGATGAGATTGAAAGAGTATTTGATTTTAGGGTCGATGAATCTTTGATTATCCGGCCTAGGGCTCCAGAAATTGAAATTATTTCGAGTGGAAGTGATGATGAAATAGGGACTAGACGAGTCTTCAAACATGAAATAAATCAAGTTGGAGCAGCACTGGATGAAATGATGTTTGCTGGATATGATATGGATGGTGTGAAAATTGAAGCTATTGATGATCCCATAATTCCTGTTGTGAGTGTGCGAAATCAAGATGATAGTGAACAACAACCAATTTTGAATGAAAATGAAATTAGTGAAGCTGAAGAAGCAGTTCATAATGGGGAGGAATCGGAAGTTATTGCTGAAGATTTACAAGATATGAATGCTAAAACTGATGCTGTGCAAATTGAAGAAACAATAAGCCAAGAAGAAGACGATGAAAATAAGACTACTAATAAACGTCCGATGTCTGAAGAAGTCGATTGTGAAGCAAAAAGGGCTAAAATTGATGAAGAATCTTTGAATACAGAAAATCCTGAAGACGATCCTGATGCTGTTTATCTCAAAGATGATTCATTTGTGGATGAAGTTAAAGATTATTATTAATTTTATCAAAAAAAAATAAATCATTAAATTTAAAAATTGTTTAATTTCAAGGTGTACCTCCTCTTTATACTGGTGTCCTTGGCTTTAAATTCACACATCGTTAGCGCGCCATTATGTGTGTGTGTGTTTTTTTTTTTTTTTTAATACAGGATCGTTTCTTTGACCGGGTCATTATCGAAATAATTAATTTGGCTTCAGGCTACGAATCGACGAAGAATAATTCTTCACCTTCCAAGAATTTTCCACCTCTATGGATGGTTTTTTTAATGAGATTTTAGTTCAGAGTCAATGGTGTTCTGTTACAATTAACAAGAACAATATAAACATAAATTAATACAAGAGAGTAAGGTCCTTTATTAATCATACTCTGACCAAATATGCAAAATTGCTGACTCGCCGGAAGATCTTGATACAAGATAATCAAAAAAACAAGAAGATCACGGACTAGCGCCCAAACATCTTCGCGATCTTGTTGTAGTTGTTGGCCTGCTTCAAGCCAAAGAAGAAGGGCCACTTTTTTCAGTCTTTTTGCGCTCGGGGTTTCGTATTTTTCAATCAGTAAAATTTTAGTTATATTTGAATTAAATTTGTTGTTACCACATAATCCTCAGCGCGAGATGCAAGAAAGTGAATAATTAGTTAGGACAATTTAACGCCACTTAGAAGGTGCGGTCTTCCGGATAATTTAACCTAATTTAGCTAAAAAAAACATACATTTTGATTCCAAAGATGCCTTCAATTATTTGCATATTCTGACCATTTTTGTTAATTTTAAAAACAATGGAGCGTTTTCCTAGTGTTTTAGTGTGGACTTTAGTGATCTCGTTTGTGGATTGTATCAGTATTGATGGGCAATTGACTGTGATAAGAAATGGTAAGATTTTTTTACACAACTATTTATTATTCGTTTGTGTCAGGTCTCACAAATCAAGTTTTGAACGGACGGAATGTTAATGAACTTTTTTGAATCACGTCTTCTTGACCCCATATTATTTGCCATGTGCTAAGACTTAAAATAAAATAAGACTTAAAAATAAAAACATTCAACTATAAGCAATTTGATCGACTTTAACACTCTTTGAGTTTTTTGTTTTAGCAAAGTAACTGTCTGCCAGTAGTAGGCTCAGATTTCAATTAATGAGATTTGTTAATTTAAATGATAACTTGATGTAATTCGCATTCCTTGATCAAACATTTTTGCGCTTTAATAATTGAGAATTTATTTATTTTTTTTAGATTGTTACGAAAGGATGGCCATAGGCGAAAAACTGAGTGCCAAACAAACTTACAAGACTTTGGCACATAATACAGTTTCAAAATGCGAAATGGAGTGCACCCAGGACAAGGAAAAATGTAGAACTTATAGTTTCGGGTAAGAATCCACTTACAATGACTCAGTTTATAATGAAAAACTACCTGGAAGGTCACAATTTCCGGACGAATCAAAATAATTGGACGCGTTCTTTTGTTTTCTTATATGCTTATTAGTTTTTATAACTTGATGATGACCAAGGCCGGCATGCTTTACGAAAAATACTTCCTCTTATTATGGCGTGCATAATGTTTTTAAATTATTATTTTTATTTAATAATAATAATAATTTTGTTTGCGTTATTTTAGTATCGGACCCAAAGGAAACGCTTCCTGCCTTCTCGGACACAATCCAGTGAAAGAAACTGCAGACCTTAAACCTATTGGCACCATCAGCGACACGGATTATGACCTTTATATCAAAAAAATTGATTGTCAAGTGGTTCTGGAACCCCCAAAACATCCAACAAGTAGTTCTGATAACAGAAACCCACCAGCTCATTCAACACATCATGCTGTAAATAGTAATTATGGCAATTTACCAGCTCAATCAATGTACCAAGGAGCAGTACCAAATTCTGGATATTTGTATCAAAAACCAACTGAAACTAACCATCAGGTTCAGCATGTTCAGACTCATTCAACAAATCATGCTGTAAATTCTAATTATGGCATTTCACCAGCTCAATCAATGTACCAAGGAGCAGTACCAAATTCTGGATATTTGTATCAAAAACCAGCTGAAACTAACCATCAGGTTCAGCATGTTCAGACATTAGTAAGCATCGCGTCTGGACCTCAGAGTGTTTTGCATCCTGTTCATGATATTCTTGTGTCTGGAGACTCTTATCAACATCAACAACCACCTGCTGCAGTTGCAGAATATGGTGACAGGCCCCCATTTAGACCAACAGCTTTGAATCATCCATATGACGATCATAGGCCTCAACAAGAGGGATACGAGACTACTTATAGACCCAGCACTATTTTTGATAACTCTGCTTTGAGACCAAATAATTACAGACCAAATACTGGGTCTGATAATGTTGACTTTTCTTATAGGCCACAGTCTCAGCATACTTATGATAATCCTGGTTTAAGACCAGAGACTTCCTATAGACCGAATAATGATAATTATGCCATAAGACCATCAACAAATACAAATTTCCAAACGAGTTATGGCCAGTCTAGCCATAATCAGTTTAACAATGACCGGCCAGATCCAACATATGGTAGACCACAAAATCTTCCAGAAACTGGCTACGGAAATGGCGGCACTCGGATATCAATCGACAGACGAAAATATGAATCTTACAGTTCGTACGCTCAATTTGAACATCATAGTCCTAACTACAATTACTATGACCACTATGATAGGCCTGATCCAAAATATCCTAATAGATACGGATCGGTTATACCGCATCCGGATGATTATGACAGGCACGATTCGCACTATGATTATTTATTTGTGAGGCCTAATGCGGAACCGACTTATCCTGGAAGTGATTACGACAGCCAGAGACCAGTGAAGATTGGGCATAGTAGGCCTTATGGCATGCAACGACCTTATGGGTCGGATGATGGGAAAAAGTCTGGATATGAAAGACCATACAAGTGAGTAAATAATTTTTCTTTTTTTTTTGATAAGCCTCAAACTACCTAAATTGTTTTTAGACCTTCAAAAAATCCTACAACGTCTAGTTCCAAACCTCCTTCCACTGAGCTCACTAATCACTATAATAGTATGGATTATCATAAACAATATGGTAAGCCTGGGAGTTATAGTAATACCAAAGGAAGTGACAAGGGCCAGGCGATTGTCACTGAAAGTGTTGGCTATCATGGAGAAAAGATAACTTCTATTATTACACCGTTGAAAAATGGTAAGCAAACTACTATACTGCAAAAACAGTTCACATTGAAAATTGCTTGTAAAATAAATGCAAAACCAAGCAACAATACATTCACATTAATTTAACGCTATTTAAACATGCATCCCAATGAACACGTCAAGTTCATCTGCGTCAGAAATATGCAAATTTTATGGTCAAAGGTAATAATTATTATGAATCTTTGCAAGCTAAAACTACTAACAGCTATCGCTTAAAAAAAATTACTGACAAAAATTATGAAATTTGAAGGTAAGCCCCCAGTTTAGTTCGGACATTAGTTATGCATAATGGTAACAATGGGATCGGTCATCATTGTTGCAGCAGTGAGCCTTCGGCGTCAAGAGATTTTTATCTTTTTGACAAATAATGATGTAAGCAAGTAATAACAAAAATGGTGATTCTTTTTTATGTAACACTTCCAATTGAGTTCTTGAATTTTTAGTTTAAAGGCTGCAAATCTAAATAGGTCAGATGGGGGTTTCTAAAGGGACTTAATTGGTATCAAAATGGTCAAGATTTTTCATAGAAGTCTTCTTTGAAATTTTGTTTCACAAAAGTCTCTAGGTAAAGCTGCTATATTCAAATCGAAATCAGATTAATAAATAATGCTTCCTTGTTGTGGAACATGAAATGTTAACAAATTACATACCTACAATTAAAAATAAAAAAAAGGAAATACGCATTCAAAAACTATAAGATAAAATAAAAGATATTTTGTGCCTGATTTGGTGTTCAATATCTGTAGGCTTCTTCCTAAAGGAGGCCAGCTTTCTGGGTGGTAAAGTGCCCACCTCTTGGGCTGTTAGCCATACCCCTTCAAGGGGTTTCAACCTTTTGCAGGTGTGAGTAGGGCATTCACAGAATAAATGTTCTATAGTTTCTGGTGCTTGCAAGATTTGCAGTGGTCATTGTCTGTTTTATACAACACAAAGAAAAACATCACTAAATACAACCTTTCTATCTCAACGTTCTCGCTTAGGACCCTCAAAAAACTCAGAATTAAGATTAATGAACAAAATTTAATTATAACCAAAGCTGATAAAGGCTGTTGTCCTGTAATTCTTGACAAACTTGAATATATTTCTAAGGTTGAGACTTTCTTACAATCAAATAATTTTCAGAGATTGTCGTCGAATCCACACAACGGTTTCGTCAGGAGAACAAACAGAATTCTTAAACATTTCAGCAACTTCCTTGAACAAAATCAAGCTCCCAAAGTGCTTCTTTCTAGCAATCCAGTGGTCCCAAGGTTGTATGGCCTTCCCAAGATCCACAAAGTCGACGTCCCCATCAGACCGGTGGTTAGCTTCACAAACACCCCTATCTCAGTCCTATCTTCTTTTATACTCAAACTCATCAAGGATTTCACTGCATTCACACCTACATTCGGTGTAAACAACTCTTTGGATTTAACCCGTAAACTTCAAAATATTTCATTGCCAAACAACTATTTAATTGTTTCGTTTGACGTAACAAATTTGTTCACAACCGTACCTAAGTTTGAAGCTACCAACATAGTAGGGGATCTCCTTAGATCCAGAGGATTAGAGGAAGAGAAGGTTATCAACATTTTGTCACTCTTGCACCACTGTCTCTCCCAGAATTATTTTTCTTTTAACAATACTTATTTCCAACAACCTGATGGGCTAACAATGGGCAGCTGCCTTTCTCCTTTCCTAGCTGATATTTTCATGGACTTTTTGGAAAATAACCATATAATCACTGTTGAAAATACAGAAATAATTCACTGGTATAGATATGTGGATGATTGCCTCTGCTTTCTCAATGGCGATGCTCATCGAGCTGACCTCTTGCTGCAGAAGATCAACTTGATACATCCTAACATCAAATTCACCCTAGAAATTGAAAACAATAACAAAATTAACTTCCTTGACCTCACCATTTCAAGGAATCTTTCCAACGATTTGCAGTTCTCAATATATAGGAAACCCACACAAACAGATCATGCAATTCCCAACTCTTCCAACCACCCCCAACAACATAAATTGGCAGCCTTTCATTGCTATATACATAGACTTCTTAATACACCCTTATCAAAGGAGGACTATTATCTTGAAGTTAAAATACTCAAACAAATTGCACATAACAATTCTTACGACCCCAAGATGATCGACAAACTTATTATGAAAACTAAATATAACCGTCTGAGGAAAGAAATTTACCCAGTCACTAACCTCCCTTCTACCAAATACATAGCTTTGCCTTTCTTAGATGCATCTACCAATTCCAAAATTTCAGCAGCGGTTCGCCAAAATGTCGAGAATATTCAAATATCCTATAAAACTTGCAATAGCTTAGCAACATACTTGGTCAATACTAAAGATAAAATAGATCATCTCTCAAAAAGTGGCATCTATAAGCTAGATTGCAACAATTGTCAAAAAACCTACATAGGCCGCACTTGTAGACCTCTAAAGACTCGTATACAAGAGCATATCACAAAGCAATCTTCAGCATTTGGCGAACACCTGAGAACTACTAAACATAACTTCAGCCCCCATTCTAATTCAAAGATACTACACAACATTTCTTCTAAAAATTTCAATCGTTTAGATTTCATGGAAGATATTGAGATCAGTAAAGAGTTGCGCAACAATGAACTATGTCTTAACACTCAGGTAAATCTGAATAGATCATACATCCCCTTGCATAGACGCCTCTAAATTGTTCCTCCTGACCATCGTTGTGTGGACTCGACGGCCATGTTGTTTTCCCTCAATGTCTCTTCTTTTCTTCCGTCTTATTCCATTTGATTTACAACCTAACCTGGGTTCGTTTTGGACGTTTGTCTGTCTCGAGGTGTCAACTGTCTTTGATAATCTTCATGTCAATTTAAAATTTGAAAGTCATCTTCATTCGATGGGTTCTGGTTTCCGAACGACACGTTTTAAATTAAAATTCTAAAAATCCTAAATTTGGGATTTAACACAAGATTACAATTTCAGAGACTACGATGAAGTAAGGCATATTTTAAAGTTCAGCAGATTGGACCCTAAAGCCAGTATTGTGAGAGAATTTTTACAGCTCAGTTCCTTTATATAAAAAAATGTGATATAAGATTCTAATTTTAAAGTGTTGTTGTTACGTACGTACTTGTCCAATGTGTCGTCCCGATTTTATTGAATTTTCTGCACTGATTACCTGACGAAGTAAGTAGGCTAGACCCCATTCTCAATCTTTCCTTTTTTAGCATTATTTTATAAAGTTAAGGTCTCCCTTCTACTTCCAGGTAGCACTGATGATGGCCTAAGGCCGAAAGCGCTCTGCACTGATTTTGAAAAATTAAATATTTTGCACGAAAATACACAACTTTCATTCCTCCTCATTTCCAAGCGTGCACACAGCCTTCAACCTTTGATTGTCTGATTTGCCTATTGTTTTTAGGTGATATTTCATCAGGCAATCTCTTCTGATGTCTTTTCTGTGCATGTCAAGCTGTTCAGATCTCTTTGCTGAGATGGATATAAATTTTTTGCTTGTTTCAGACCCGGAATGGATTTCCAGTAAGCTAGCATTTGGTCCTTTTCCCATCTATTCGTTTCTTCAGAGACGTGGCTTTTCATTAGTTCACAAAAAGGCGCTGGACCTTAAAAGGTGTTGAAGCGCCTTGCTTTACGAGACGGTCTCCTTATCGCCCGCTATGCCTTGGAGCCCTTGTACCCACATCAGAGTTACTTTGTTCCCAGCTTAAGGATATTTTCATCCTCCCAAACTCCCTGCGAATTGCACTTGATAGCTCCTAGAGCCTTTAGAGCCACTTTCGGATAGTATGTGAATGTGCTCTATTAAAATGCCTCTTTTAAGACGCTTCCCAGACGGACTCCTTCCGTTAACTTCGAACCATATGCTTTGCGCTCGTCCATAATTGGTGTTCTTTTACAACCATGTCTTATGGAATATCAAAGTCTAATGATGTTATCAAATGATCTTGGTTTACTTTGGTCACCGAGCTTTATAGATTGAAGAATGCGTAAGTGGCCATATTCAGATCACCAGGTTCTATTCTTGCCTCTTTATTGACATATAGGTGAAGAGAAGGCATGTTCAGCAGTGCCTCTAAGGCTGCGGTGGGGCAGGTTGATATAGCCCCTGTGATTCTCAGACAGATTAGCTTTTATACTTTACGTAGACTGTTCTGTGCTCAGTCTTTGGCAACCATACCAACGAGACATAGAGATGATAATGGGTCTGATAACCGTTTGGGAAAGCCAATATTTGGTCTTATCCCTCATGTTTTTCCCACGAGTTTGCGGCACGTCTAAGTCGCCGCCATAGCTCGTGATATTGTTTTGTTCAGATGGTTGTTCCGTTCCAAGTAAGTTTGCGGTCCAGACTGACGGGTGACCCCTTAATACTTAACTTCATCCGAGAGAGATAATGGAATGCCGTTTAGAGTAGGAGCTCGAAGATCCAGCTTCCCTCTTTTGGTATATGAACGGAACTAAGGTCGTTTTGCTGTGATTTATGGAAAGTCCTTCTTCCTCGCTCCAGTTTTTGAATATATTCAAGACACTTTGCATTCGGCCTGTAATTATGCCTTAATGCTTGCGTCTGATTATTACCGCCTGATCATCTGCGGAAAGAGAAAGGAGTGGAGTAACAACCACGTTAAAAAGTTCATCCCGGATGATAGCACCCTGTGAGGGCTCCTGCGACGAAGCTGCTGCCTTGTAGTTGAATGTTGGTTCATCAAAGGCTAGAGGAAGAAAACCTTGACCACAAATCACCCGGTCCTACAGGTTGGGGGTTGAGGCTCAGGGTGTGCAGCCCAGTCCTTGTCAAAAACCCTACTATGCAACAAATCCCACAATCTAGCCTCGGTCGGAGTCCTATTGATTAGATCAAATGATGACGACCCATGCAACGAATACCGGACATGAACTGTGGAACATGTAACATTCAAGGCTCAAAAAACAAACTGAATGACGTCTTACCGGGGGATTCAAATAAGAAACATTGATATATAGCTGTATTAACGGGAGGCAAGAAAAAAGGTTCAGGAATAGAAAAAGTAGGAGAATACCTACACATTTACAGTGGCGTTTCCAAAGAAGAACGAGCCGCACAGGGGTATCCATTGTAATAAAAAACAGCTATGAACAGAAAATCAGCAATTGGGAAATATCAACCACCGAGGGCAAAAAATCACTATTATTGGTGTACATGCCTCTACTAATGACGCAGCTGCCAGAATAAAAGACAACTTTTTTGACTGTCCTAACAATACCCTGGGAAAAATTGCCGACCAAAGGGAGATTATACTCATGGGAGACTTAAATAGTAGGACTGGCAACAAGGAAAAGCATCCTGTCCTAGGAAAATTTGGAGAAAATGTTCTTAATGACAATGGAGAAAGGCTAATAGAATGTTGTCAACAACACAACCTAAAAATGTTGAATGGCTTCTTCCAACATAAAGACATCCATCGCTTCACTTGGCATCAGGAAACAAGGCAACTACGATCATAATTGAGTACGTTATTTTGCTTCAGGACTCTAACCTGATGTTACAGCATTACGTGGAAGTGAGTGTGGAAGCGATCATTTCCTAGTCAAAGCAAAAATAAAAATCCCCTTAAAAAAAACAAACAATACAAAATTCGATGACGGTTCAAGAAGCTTCGATACTATTGATAACCCGTCGTACAAAGTAGAGCTTTTTGAGAGAAAAGCGTCAAGCACTGATATCAAAGCCGCTGAAATTAAAAACTTGACGAAAACTTGATAAAGTTATCTCTGGATGATCTATCATTTGACAAAAACAATAAAAACCGCCGTCATGGAGAGCTTGGGAAAAAGGCAAAAGAAGACTAACCGATGATTGGAATGAAGAACTTGAAGAGCAAAAAGCAAAGAAACAAGAGCTCTATCGAAAATGGCTCAGTTTAGGTACACAGGAAGACCGAGAATCCTATAAAAGAGAGTTAGCTTCTTTTGAGCGACTTTACACAAAACTAAAAAACGAATTGGGAAAAGCAGTGCAATGGAGTAAATGCCTTTATTGGGTCACAAGATCAACAGAGGCGTGGCGGGCTATAAATAATCTCCCTAAAATCAAACCATAAGACCAAAATAAATCTTCCAATAATTAGCCTGACAAAAAGGGGAAGAACACTATGAAGGGATACACAACCCTATCTCCGACAAAGCTCTTAACTCTCTAAAAAACAAGAGCATGCGGTCCCGAAGGAATTCCAGCCGAAACACTGAAATACAGCTCCTCGAAATTGAAAAACTTTCTATCAGTAATTATGACTAGATACATAAATGGGGAAGCCTCCATACCTGAAGATTGGAAAATCGGATGGATAACTCCAATATTGTAGAAGAAGAATATGGCCCCTTTGAAATAGAAGAGCAAGGAGGTTTTAAAGCAGGTTGCTCATGCATTGATAACATATCTCCCCTAACACAGATTATAGAGAAAAAACTAGCAACTACCAATGAAAAAACGCACCTTCTGTTTGTAGATCTGACTGAAGCTTAGGATACGGTAGCAATTAAAAAGTTGTGGGAAGTAATAGCAAGAACCTCTTCAATTTTTTCAGCCATAGAAGCCATTAAAGAACTATCTGCGGGGGCGAGATCTCAAATTAAGGTTGGCCAAACATTATCGGAAGAATTTTTAGTGACCAAAGGCCTACGGCAAAGATGCTGCCTTTCGCCGACTCTGTTTAAAATGTATCATGATCAAGCACTGCTCGAATGGCGCCGAAAATGTAATAAAATGGAAATTCGGAATCCCACTTTTGGATGATTACACTCTACACGCTGCACTTCCCTGACTATCAAGTTGTGATAGCTCATGATAAAGAAGATCTGGAATATATGACTAGAAATTTAATCGAACCATACCAGAAATGGGGATGACATATCAACATGAGCAAAACAAAATATATGTGTGTGGGAGAAGACCCAGAAGATCTCACACTAGCTAACAATTCAGCTATACAATGTTGCGAGGAATATACACATCTTGAAGTGAAGATTGAGAGCATGGGAACAAGTGAAAAAGAGATAGCAGAGAGAATAACAAAAGGCAAGAAAGCAATTGGGACATTAAACTCTGTACTGTGGTCGAAAAATATCACGCCCAACATTGAATCCTTAATATACAAGAGCCATTAGAAACATTTATAAAAAAACCCAGAGTAAAAGTAGGAAATCAACCTTCAGAAAGTTTTAAAATTACAGAAGAACTAAAACAAGGTTGCTGTACCACCTAGACTCTTCAAGATATACATTCAGGGGGCCTCGAAAAACTGGAGAAATAAGTAAGTGCTCTGGTATGGAAATATAAGCTAGCTGTGAAGAGGACGATTACATGTATAGAAAACTCATTATGAACACCGAAATGGATTTTTGGCGTAGGTCAGCATGAATATTTCGACTGGAACATGTAGAGTTCGCCAGATAATGAAAGTTAAGAAAAATGTTACGTAAAACGTTGAAGACAGATAGTTGAAATGCTACGGTCCCGTCCAAAGAATGTTACCAGAAAAAATTGCCAAGTTGGTAATGAAATGAACTCCCAAAAAAGACGAAAACCAGGACGACCTAAATGCTCTTGGATGCAAGGAATATCAAGGCCAATTTCCGAACGAAATCTCAATGTAGGAGATTGGAATGACCGGGAGGGATGAAGAATGGGAACCGGAAGGCGTAGAAGAAAGCTATAAGCCGGACATATATATAATATATATATAATGTACGTAGCCTAGGACAGTTATTCCGATGTTGCTTAGTCTGGTAAGGATGCTGTCTATACCACTAGGGTCCACAGGAGAGGCGAAAGGACATTGCCTTGTAGGCAGCCTTTAACCGTGGTGACAGTAACTGTTTCGCCGATACTGAACGATGTTTTAGCATGGCTTCTGTCCATCGTATGATGGGAACTTCTAAGAGCAGGAAAGATCATTACTCAGAGGTCCTTAATCAAAACAACGATACCGATTTATCAATTCTAGATCGGCTCCCCACATTCTCACCTATGTCTTCTCCCGACGACGACATCACTCTGCAAGAAATTCGAAAAGCAATAAGACAAATGAAAAACCAAAAATCACCCGGAATCTACGGTATTCCAGCGGAATTTTTTAAGGCTCTTGGTGATGATATCACTTAAAACCTACTAACACTTTTTCGCAAAATCTTGCTTCAAGAAGAAGTACGGCAAGATTTCAAAAATGCCCCAATTATAAATCTTTGGACAAAGTAGATCAAGATCATATATTTACGCTTCGACAATTACAAGAAACAGTATACGTGAACTATAATATATACAGCATTTATAGACCTGAGCAAAGCATCTGACTCGGTTAACCGTACAGCGCTGTGGCTAATCATGGAACGTTTTGGAATACCCGAAAAGTTTTCAACAGTATATCGCTGCCTTCATACTAACAACATGACTAGATTACAAAATAATGGATCTAAAACCTCTTTATTTAATATATCTTTTGCCATAGCTATCTCAATTATTGCGGATAGAAGCATGTCTAGGGGTGTTGGAATCAGGTTTAGATTTGATGATTATTTAATTTATTTAGAGCGTCTCAGGACAAAGACTCGAATAAGATTTATAACAGAACTAAAATATGCCGATGACTGCGCTCTTATCGCATGCTCTCTGGTAAACCTTCAGACAATGCTAGATAGGTACCTATAAATTTATTTACGAGTCCTTGGACTTGAAGCTCAACATTGGCAAAACCAAAGGTCTGGTTTGTCCACCACAATACGACCAGATAGATATCAACCTGGAAGGTGAACTCCTTGAGGTTGAGGAGCAATTTAACTACCTGGGTAGCTTCGTCAATAGCAAATCTAATCTCAACTCAGAAATACATAACATACGTTCTTATTGGAAACTAAAAGAGTGAGTCTTTCAAAATCATGACATAACCCTAAATACTAAAACGGCAGTCTACAAAGCAGTTGTGCTCTCCAATACTACGGTATGGAAGCGAAAGCTGGACCCCTTACAAAAGACATATTAAACAGCTCGAATCACTACAACAGCGCCATCTCAGACAAATAATGCATTTCAAATGGTTCCACAGAATATCGAACGCGGAAGTCTTACAACATGCTAACTATACCACCATTGAGACGCAAATCACTAAGTCTGAACTCAGATGGGCTGGCCACAGTGGCCACGTCCCAAGATTGCAATGCTTCCGTAAATGAGACTGTATGGCGAACTCACAGAGGGAGTGAGAAAGCTTGGTGGCCAATACAAACGATATAAAGACGTACTGCACCAGTCGCTGAAATCACTTGATGGGAACAGAAACTGGGAACAATTGGCTTTAGACAGAGCACAGTGGCGGGCATTGGTTCATAATGTCTGCCCAGCGACTCTGTGTCTACGGGGCAACGGTAAGGGGAATGCAGTTGTAAAAAAAATGGCTGATTTCATTCATAAAATACCCAGCTGCGTGCGGAATTTTTTGGAAGTGTTATCGTATTGCAGCTCCTACACGAAAATCGAAAATGACCAAACCCCCGCCACTGGATATTTCCATATAAATCGATATTCCAAGATGGGAGGATACAATGACGGAAGCCCTGGCCAATAGCGAGACGTAAGGTGAGGTTAGCCCATTGACAATGACATGGTTCCCCGTGGAAACGGCCATCCTGCCAAAAACTCCACCAATCAGGTTCATCCAGGCCGGATGCTTGCCAAATTGTCAAAAACTGATGGTATCTTTAGAAAATGTTTATTTTTTACAATGGACAAAATTGAAGAAATCAGTTATTAGAATAAGAATAGATCTAACAACCACGTTGAAATATTTAGCGTTTTATTGGTATCTATATTTTGTTATTAAAAAATGGATTTTCAAATGAACTATACTTCATGCCTATTATTTTCGTTTTTTTATAATTAAACGTGACAACATGGCAAATTTACGTCCGAATTCCTTCCGTAGACTCAGATCCGCTGGGCAAACAATACCTATCCAGTCTTCAAAAAAAAAAAAAAAAAAAATCAAAGATTGCTATGGTTTTTGAATGTCATTGTGTCTTAACAATTTTTTTCTTTAAGGAGCATTTACATTCACTTCCAATTTCAAGTTAAATTTGACGTTTGATTTTTTATCATTTACATTGCAGAACAAAAACGTCAAGTCAAAACGTCAGAATTTAATGAGAATCATGATGAATAACCTAAAAATTTGACATTTCACAAATTTCAGCTTGCCCTCGGCAAGCAGCTCGCCCGAATTTGAAGTGCACTGCGAAGTGAACTTCAAATTTATTTCAATGTAAACGGATCTGTGCTGTCGTCATATGCCAAGCAGGTCAATTTCAAGACAAATTGGACTTCGAAGTGAATGTAAATGCACCATTAATTTTGTCAATGAACTTTAATGTCAAAATGTCATGTAAAAAAAACCTGACCAATAAAGACATAATAATGCGACGTACGTTTTCGTAATCATAGAAATCTTTGATTGGTTTTTTTTTTTTTGAAGACCCGATACAATGTCAATGCGCAAAGAGCACAAACGACCTGAACAAATCGTAGACTAACTACCACTGCCCAGAATACGGAAGGATCTGCAACTCGCAAATAGGGCTCTTTAGTCATTGTAAAACACATAGAAAATCAAATTTATTCATGAGTAGAAATTAGAATTTTCTAAGTAAATCTAAAATAAATTTTAGTTTTTTTTGTATACCTTATTCTTGGAAACGGGATTTTAGCCATTTAATACAATATAATGGGAGATTTTACCACCCTATTCTCAGGAGCTTTTTTGATAGTTCGATGTGATAGTCCAAAATTCCAGAGCCGCCAGACACAACTTATTTTCTAAAGGACAGAATATGTGGGATTTTGTAGCACTTATCTGTACTGTACTTATCTGAACGTATGTAACCCGCTAAGTTTGGTAGACGGCAAATTTACCGACACCAGGTGCAAAAGATGAGAAAAACCATACATATGTTATTGGGGAGACTATTTCATAACTACGTGTGCTCAGCCAGACCAATCGCACCAGCCAAACATCCGTCCAGACGCAATAATAATTTTTCCAGGAGTGTGAGCACGAGGGTACTATGCATGCGAGTGAGCGAGATATTTATGTCAACTGATTTCCCCCTCTTAAACTTACAGTCTACTCCAGGCTAGAGTAGAAATGGGAAAAACCGTTATTTACAAATAACAGTTTCAGCTGTTACTATTATTTTCAATTGGCCGTCTACCTAACTTAGCGGGTATACAAACGTTCATAGTACCTACCTATAAGTGCTACTCAATCCTTAGATTATCCCATATATTTTGTCTCTTAGAAAATAAGTTGTGTCTGGCGGCTCTGGCCTCTTGGACTTTTAGGTGTTACCCTCAAGATCTATGAAAGCTGCAAGAGCGATTTCTTTTGCCTTAAAAGTGCCTTTTCGATGTCTGTTACTAGACAATGGAGTGCACTTGTGAATTTATAGTGCAGGCAAATTATATTGGATGAAGCATGAAGCGGTCTGATATATTAGTCTATTGCTTTCTCCATGTATTCAAGGAGAAAGGAAGTTAGGCTAATGGGTCGATAGGAGTTTGGTTTATCCTCTGGCCGGCGTCCTGCCGAAGATTTATACGGCCTAAAGCAAACCTGTCTATCACCCATTTTATTCTGTTTTGCTTGTTCCAATTTCAGATTTAAAAGTAATTTTTTTAGAATTCGTGGTACAAGCACGAGCACTGTATCTGTTTCGAGCACTCTAACCTAACTGTTCCGTATGTAAGATTCCAAAAAATGCCAAAAAAATCCAAAAAATTCTAAAAATCTCCAAAAAATGCGAAGTAATTCCAAAAAATGCCATTTTGGAATTTTTTGGAATTAGTGGTACAAGCACTGTATCTGCTTCGAGCACTTTAACAAAAAATGCAAAAAAATTCCAAATATGTATGTATTTCTGAAAACTTAAATTTTTTGGAATTTTAAAATGCCAAAAAATTCCAAAAAATCCTAAAAATTCCCAAAAAATTCCAAAAAATGCCAAGGAATTCCAAATATTCCATTTTGGAATTTTTTCGCATTTTTTGGAATTTTCTTGTATTTTTTTGTTTAATTTTTTTGAATTATTGGTACAAGTACGAGCACTGTATCTGTTTCGAGCACTCTAACTGTTCCGTATGTAAGATTCCAAAAAATGCCAAAGGATTCCAAAAAAGTCCAGAAATTTCCAAAAAATGCCAAGGAATTCCAAAAATAATTCCAGTACCTAATAATCAAATTTTGAACTATTACCGGTTCTTGAGGGTTTCTAAAAGCAATATTCAACACCTCAAGAGCCAATAATAATTAAAATTTGGATCAAAAGTATGATTTGGAACACTAGAAAATATTTCTAACAAATCAAGAGCCAGTAATGATCAAATTTTAACCTATTACCGGCTCTTGAAGCCTCTAAAAACAATATCCTACACCTGAATAACCCATAATAATTAAAATTTGTATCAAAAATGAAATTTTGGAACACTAGAAAATACTTCTATCTTAAATCATTCTTCCGAAATTTCAGGAAAATTCACCACAAATAAGTTCATAAAAAAAAGAAGCAAATCTACGAATTTCAGTAGAGACCCGGATAACACGTTATACATTACTCGTTGGAATGTTGCAGGGGCATTTTTCAATCCAAAGGGCATTCGAATAAATCCGTAATATTCGTTTTCTACATGAAAAGATGTTTGGGATGGCTCAATTAGAATAAAAAATGAATAAATATTTATTGCTTTATATTGACTCTTGAAATTGCATTTTGAGTAATTCAGGGGCGTGAAAAAGTTTCATAAGAATTTATAGCTTCCAAGGACAAAGACTTTGGAAGTGGACAGTTTTGGATGATTTCTGCCTCTTGAAACTCTGGAGACTGAATAATGATGTTTTTAACTTTTCAAACAAATTCAGGACTTCTTGTAAACCTTGTTGTGCTAGGACTAATTCATTTATCCCTTTGCAGAACTGTCTCCAGGTTGTCATTTGGATTTTCTCAAGGCTATATTTTACTCTGAAGGGCTGTTCTGAGCTCTAGTTACAATTTGCCTAATTATAATTTCCTTGCTTAAGAGTCATAGATTAAGGACCGGTTTATCAGCGGACGGCTATCTAGTTTAGCTGTCAGTTAGCTAATGATAATTATTAGTTAACTGACAGCTAAATTAAATAACCGTTCACTGATAAACCGATCCTAAATCAATGGCTTTTGACACGAACCTAAAATTTTCCATCTCAAAATTCACATATAAATCAAAGGAATTTTCGTTTCCTAATTTGTTTGTACAGCTCAGCATAGATATAGATATACGCGGATATGTTTTAAAATTTTAATTTTTCCATTGTTTCCAATTTAATTACGGTGTTCTTATAAATTAGTTCCAAATAACACAATAATTGCCCGTAATGAATTGTTCGAGATTATGTAATTATGTAAGCATGTGTGTGAGGTCTTAAGACAGACATGTATAGGGAATTACCAATTGTGCTAACGACTATAATTATTGATTTTCTACATCTAGGTGCTTATAATGGTAATAATCTTCATTATCTATACACTGTTCATGGAGTTTGACGACACAGCAAACTTTTCTGTAACTTTTCAAGAGACTGCATCTAGGATTTTAACCTAATAAACTTTCTTATTAACGCATTATCTATCGGAAAAAAAAGGCCTATCATAATAGCTGGAGAGTTCAATTTCCCTTATATTGACTGGGAAACACTCTCATTAAATATTTAATGAAATTATTTGATCTTAGTAGCGATCGTATATCTTGATCAGAATTTAAATAGAGCAAAATTACAGAAAATACCTACCTTATTTTTATCATCATAGATCCTTTTTTGTTGAGACCATTTTGAATTGAATCATTTCCGTAACTATTTTCCCATGTTTTATCACAATTCCCTATTGAAAATCAACAGATAAATCAATCAATAATTGCCTTTTCAACAAACCCATCATCGTTGCATCGCTCCCAAAGCTCTTTCATGACACAAATCCTTGAATACGCTTCACATATAATCCAATAGTTACGCTTCTACTATGCCAGTAGTAATTCGGCATCAAAAAGAAAAACTTTGTTTACCTTATTTTATTCTTACATAATTTTTTTTATTTCAATCTTTTGTATGGTAATTTTTGCATGCTGTGAGAAATTCTGTCATTCGGATTAGCACACACATTATACACGGTTTAACGAGCAGAAATCGGTATTTTCGAAAATTATTGTTACAAGATGCGTTTTTAGTGGTAGAAAAGTTTAAGAAAAAAATGAAATTTTATCGGACTAGTAGTGTGGTACTGCTTTATTTTGTTATTGTTATCATTGCTGAAGGATCTATTATTATTATTGAAGATGCAAAAGGTAATGATTCATTATTGTTTATGAATGAAATTGGTATGGGTTTTTATTTAGATTTGTTGGAATCTACTTTGTTCAATCAAATTTTTCTAAATTTTAATTTGGATCACTTCAAACTATTTGCTGTTCACAAGTAAATTTTAATTGAAAAAATTATATCCTATACCAAACTAATTTGTTTTTCTAACTTTATAATTCTTCAATTAAATCAATGGTAATAATTCAATTACATAAATTATTTAACTTATTGAATTCTGTGGTAATATCAAAATAACTTATCCCATTTACCACCAGATTATCTTAATTTCTGTAACCTTTTACATTGGTGTTTATGTTTTAAAGGATAATGCCATATAATTATGCACAATTTAATAATATTCACACGCCTTTTGGGTCTTATTATTTTCTCAAAGGTCGGCAAAATTGATAGTGATCACTTCTCTAGTGCCATTGTCTTAAATAAAAGACGTATTATTAGATTTCGTTGATTTTAAGCAAACAATCGCGATTAGTAATTCGTAATTAATTAATACAGCAAGTGTTAATTGTGTTTTTTTTTACTTTGAATCTGATTTTTAATACAATTTTTTTTTTCTTTAATTGGAAATTCTTTTATTCATGGTGATTTACTCACAACATCATTTTTTTACTGTCATGTTGGAACTAATCAGGCTAATTCTCATCGAAATTCGATTTGCTACTCAACAACCAATAGGATTCTTGACTTTGAGTAAGTCGAAGACAAAATGAAAGGATTAAGAAAACAAACTTAATAATTTTCCACCTACAGAATTTAAAGATCTATTGAAAAAAAAGGCCGTCATAGTAAAACTAGATTATTTTCAGCATGTTTCCGAAGGACTATGGCAGGAAAACGCGTCGTACGAGGCCTGGTTAGGAAATTGCTGATTTGTGACACTGTAGAGCAATGTCAGCAAGAATGCGGCGATGAGAGACGATTTACTTGTGAGGGATTCAATTATAGGTAAGAATTTGTGGAAAAACTATTTTTATCATCAGCATAAATTAGCATAAACCACATTCGTTTCATGAACCTACTAGTTAATGTTGAGTAATACAGATAGAGTGGCTCTGAATTTGATATGAGTGAAGTCATTTCACCCTAATATATTTGATATGTGTTGGGATGATAGAGTTGCCCGTCTGGTATGTGGGCCAAATCAGCGTCTGAATTCCAAGTCAAATCTTTATCCTCTGAATAATATTATTGATACTGTCACGGTTCTGGGGTGCGTGACAGAAATCTCGGGTTCGTTTATTCCAAAATTAAAGACCAATTAACACAACAATAATTTATTCCACGTTACTACACACTCTGACACTAATTACTTCACTAATTAACTCAAACAACTTAACTCTTTACAACTATTACGATAATCATAATCTAAAACGTAGGTATCACAGCCAATCTTGAAACTTAAACTTAAAAACTACTTAACCAATATCGGCCTTTATATCCGTAGTCTATTCTTGTAAAATCCAGAATAAACGCCTACCCTTTTTTCCCAAATAGCATTGTTAAATCTAGAATCAACTTTCCAATTCTGTAGACCCTGGCGAAAGCGCCACATTTTGCGACACTGCCCTCCTCTTAAGGTTGATCGTCCCGATTAACTTCGCTACCATGCCATCAGACTGTGGATGTCAAGGTGTTGTCCTTGTCTTACGAATTTCGTCCCTAATTTAAATGTAACTCTAGTGGAAAACCATGACGACTAAAAACTTCGTCCACTGGCACCTGAGCAATAGTGATGGCTTCTTGATTGGGATTAGTGAAAACTTCTGGCCATTTACTGAAGTATTCCATGATAACTAAGATGTATTTATTACCACGCTCGGACTCAGGGAACGGTCCGGCTACATCTACCGCCTTCTTTCAAATGGAAGACCGACGTTGTACTGTTTCATGGGCCCCCGAGATATTAGTTTAGGGCCTTTACTGGTCACAGATATCCCATTTTCGGTACTTACCAGTTTTTAACGTCTTCATGATAGTGGACCCAGTAAAAACGTTCTCGAATTTTTTCCAAAGTCTTGTTAACTCGAAAATGTGCCCCTGAAGTTCTGTCATGTATTTCTTTCAATACATCTTCTACTCGATCTTTGGGAATAATTAGTTGGCTCTTCGTAGTTTTCCCATCGGTACTTTCCCAAACTCTTCTCAGTAAACCATTTTCTACGGCCAGAGAGTTCCACTGAGCCCACATCGCTTTGTGAATCAAACTTTTGTTCGACACTTCCCTCCATTCTGGCTTACATTCATCATTTTCTTTAAGATGTAGAATTTGCCCGATGTCCTGGTTTGCCTCTTGATCTTCTCTCATTTGTTCGGTAGTTCATTCATCATCAACGATAAGACCCGTTCTTCTCACAGCTAGACCAGTGTTTTTCTTATGCATATCGATTCTGTGACATTGCTTGCAATCTTCTTTACATGGCCGTCTAGACAGAGCATCAGCATTTTTATGCAGGTTTCCACGCCGATGTTTAATTTGCAAATCGTATGGCTGCAATTTCTCAATTCATCTAGCAAGCTCTTCTTTGGGAGTTTTCATTCCTTAAAACCATATTAGAGCTGCGTGATCCGTTCGAATTAGAAACTTACGTCCGTAGAGATACTTATGGAAATGGTCGACTGCTTTTACAAGCAACTCTCTTGGTGACACAATAATTTCGTTCTGGCTTTGATAAGGTTCTGCAGTAGTACTCCATGACATGCTCTTGTGAATTTTGAATTTGTGAAAGTACCGCTCCAATACTGGTGTTGCTTGCATCTGTGTCCAAAATCAACATGCGCTTCTGATCGGGATAGGACAACACTGGGCTTGTACATAATGCTCCTTTTAATTTTCTAAACGTTGAATCGCATTCTTGGGTCCAATTGAATATTGATTTTTCTTCCGTTCATCGATGAAGCGGAGCAGCTATATTGACGAATCCTTCCACAAATCCATCGATAATAAGAACATAATCCTAGAAAACTTCTTAGTTCATGTTTTTCTCGTGTTTTCCGCCAATCCCTGACATGCCATCTTCAGATACCACGTTACCTAAGAATTCTACATTCTTTTGAAATGGAAAACACCTATTTGGATTTAGTTTTAAGTTGGCATTTCGGAAGCGGTCAAAAACGTCTTTCATTTTATCGAGATGTTCTTGGAATTAATCTCCCATGATCATGACATCATCTAAAGATACCAGACAAGTTCTCCATGTAAGGCCTCGCAAAACTAGATGCGTCAGTCGCTCAAGCGTAGCGGGAGCATTACACAATCCGAAAGGCATTACGTTAAACTGGTATAGCCCGCTTCCGGTACTAAAGGCAGTTTTCTCTTTGTCATCTTTAAGTCGGGATCCACTCTTAAGATCCAAGGTGTAAAAAAATTGGGAACCAGATGTTCCTATCGTCTATCCTCTGGAGAGGAAAGCTGTCCTTTTTGGTGACGTCATCAAGCTTACGGTAGTCCATAAAAAATTTAAGATTTCCATCTTTCTTCGTAACCAATACTTCTGGCGCAGACCATGGACTATTTGACTTTTGAATAATTCCCTCTTGAAGCATTTTATCAATTTGGTTTTCCTCTTCCTGTTGTTTAGTTACTGGCATACATCGAGGTCGTTGTCCAGTTGGGTGTGCCAATCCATTATCAATTTTGTGTTGAATTAAACTGGTCCGTCCGGTTTGATTATCCATCACAAATACGCCTGCTGGGGTGCGTGACAGAAATCTTGGGTCCGTTTATTCCAAAATCAAAATCCAATTAACACAACAATAATTTATTCCACGTTATTACACACTCTGAGACTAAATTACTCCACTAATTAACTTAAGCAAGTTAACTCTTTACAACACTTACAATAATCATTATCTAAAACGTATCAAAGCCAATCTTGAAACTTCGACTTAAAAACTACTAACCAATACCCCCCCCCCAGGTCGCTATCTAAGCCTGTATTTTTACGTATAAGAAAATGTGGCAACATCAGGGCGTGGCACCCTAACACCTCAATTTTTTGTTTACATTTTTAAACAATTTATATCCTAGATGTAGGGACCCCCAAACATATTCTCTGGGTGCGCCACTGGTAAATACAAATAAAGATGTTTCAATATTACAGGGACAAACTTAAACAAGTGATCCCTTAACTCCCAATGTTTCTTTGAGCATTTTTTACTTGAAAAAATTTCCTAATTTAAGTACTTGTTAAAATTTGCTGCTGTGGTAGAGGTACTCAATATTGAAAAGCCAAAATTTTGATACTGGCATATACTCTCCCTTTCTTTAAACATTTATTTACTTCAAGTGGCATGGAAAAATATTTTTTTTTTTAAATTTCTTTTGTTAAAATTCCCTCCAGTAAATATTTACCAAATAATGCAAGACTTGCTGCAAGACCTAGACCAAGACCAAGACTGGACCCTGCAAGACCAAGACCAAGACCGCATATGCAAGACCAAGACTAAGACCAAGACTAGCCCGGTCTTGGTCTTGGTCTTGCATTTGCTCATCACTACAAAGCACGTGCCTGTCAAAATTTCGGAGCAAATCGACGGAAAAGATGAAAAAAACGAACTCGGCCTCTGAAGTCTTATGGAACTATGCTTGTGTTCCATATTGTGTTGAAAACTGATGTTCTATTATGGAGACGCTTAGAATTTTATAAAGGATAACCCACACCTATTTTTGGGCTCTATGGATTTTGCCCATTTTTTGATATGTTGTAGAGGATTTAATTTCTTAACAACCTTTAAATGGGACGAAATCTTGTAAGTATTACGGTTTCTAAGATATGAGCGTTGAAAGACTTTTTTTTGCGATAACGCACACCTAACAGGGGATTTTTGGGCTCTATGGATTTTGCCCATTTTTTGATATGTTGTAGAGAATTTAATTCTCTTAACAACCTTTAAATGGGACGAAATCCATTGTAATTAGGTATTACGGTTTTTAAGATATGAGCGTTGAAAGATGAACTTTTTTGCGACTTTTTGTGTGGAGAGTATACGAAAAACTTCTGCTTATTGGCGATTTCGCCTACTGATGGGGGCGCTGGCGTTTGTAAACGAATATGGCGGAAAACGAGTAATATTCTGACGTTCAGCATTGTATTTATATGTATTCGTATTTCTTTCGCTAATTTTCTCGTTGTTCTCGTAGTTTTTTCGGTGGTTTTTTACTATATTTTTTAAATTTTGAACGTTGTGACTTTCTTTTTTGCATTTTGTATCCATACAACACGAAATATGGAAAATGGAGGCCTGTTTTTGAGTTTGGCAAAAGTTTTATCCTACCTGCAGGCTGGCGTAGAAAGCACGATCACTATTTTTCTTAGAAAAATAATGAAAATGAATAGTTCTGTCTGCCCTTTTCGGGAATGGCATTCGTATACACAGCAGTTTGTGTTATGCTTGGACCGCTTGGACATGGAGGCAGATGCCATTGAATTCCTGTAATAATAGCGGCTCAGTAGACCTGCCCCCCCCCCCCCCAGTTGATAATTTTTATCCAAAACGCTAGCCCTCGTTCTCCAGAGCTAGCGCAACCTAGCGCAACCTAGCGCAACTTTTTCGAAAGCTAGCGCAGCTACAGGTCAAAAGATATGTGGCTTTATATTCGGGGGGGGGGGGGGGGGGGCTAGGGTGACGCTAGCCCCACCCAGTTATTCGATCTTTTCAAAAATGCTGGCGCACATTCGTAGCAGCCTAGCGCAAGTTGTGTCATAGCTAGCGCAGCTATTGTAGCTGTCATACAGGGTGGACAAAAAAAATCATGAGCCCCTACAAGTGATTTTTAATTTCTCAAAAATATATATGAAGCTTCCTTAAAGCTAGCGCAGGCTAGCGCAGGTAAAATTCGAGCAACCGCATTACCCCTTTAAAACATTTACAGGTATTTATTCGGGGGGGGGCTAGATCAACACTAGCCCCCCCCAGTTATTCGATCTTCTCAAAAATGCTGGCGCACATTCGTAACACCTAGCGCAGCCTAGCGCAAGTTGTGTCATAGCTAGCGCAGCTATCGTAGCTGTCATACAGGGTGGACAAAAAAAATCATGAGCCCCTACAAGTGATTTTTAATTTTTCAAAAATATATATGAAGCTTCCTTAAAGCTAGCGCAGGCTAGCGCAGGTAAAATTCGAGCAACCGCATTACCCCTTTAAAACATACACACATACAGGTATTTATTCGGGAGGCGGCTAGAGTGCCGCTCTGCCGCTAGCCCCCCCCTAGTTGTTAAATCTTTTCCAAAATGCTAGCGGAAGTTCTTGACACTTAGCGTAAGTCGTAAGTTGTGTCGTAGCTAGCGCAGCTATAGTAAGTAAATGTTATACAGGGTGAACTATGAAATTTTACAAAATGTCGCCAGCTCCAAGACAAGATTTAACGTTTACAAGCGCTATCTATTCGCGAAGTAGGTAACTAAAACTTTACCTCACAAAGAAATTAAAAAATTGAGGTAGGTATCTTTTTCAACCTTGATGCGCGACTAGTGGGTTGTACAGTGACTGTATTACCACAGTGGCGACAATAATTGCAGTCTCTTTTATGATTGGTTTTTTTAAATCCTATAATATGTTCATATTAATGAACTGTGTTCACTTTGTGGCGTAACTCTTGCTAATTTTAAATATGAATATATACGATTTATGGACATCGATCATAACAAATTGAGAACAACGTATTTGATATACCTAATAATGGTCATCAAATACATTGTTTTCAATTTTGTATGATAAATGTCCATTTAAATCCTATATATTCCTATTCAAAATTAGCAAGAGGAAAGCCACAAAGTGGCGGCGGGACCTCTATTGTCGCCACTGTGTTAGGTTTAGAGCGAGTTCTCATGAGCGTAAGTTGACATTTCTGGCGTAATCACGTGATAAAATGGTTGGATTTTATTGGTAAAATATTCGCCATGCTGGAGATTTTACCAATCAAATAACACCATATTATCACGTGATTACGCCAGAAAGGTCAACTTACGCTCATGAGAATTCGCCCTTATTGTCACTGTAGTGAGTTTAGGGATGGCAACGACATATCGATATTTAGTTCGTCGAAATATCGATACTGAATATTGTCGACATTTTTAGTGGTGGTGGCGGTAGGTTTTGGATTCAATCATTTGTCAAATTTTGTATTTTGTATGTGTTAAAAAAAGATAGAACATTTTCGGGCAAGTTGCTGACAAAGACAAATTAAACCGAGTTGTCAGAAACGATCGAAGTAATTAGTTCAATAATCTGCCACACCATGCGAAATACGCTACGAGTATGTGCACAAACACACTTCCAGATTGTTAGCACAGAACCATTTCATTGCATTAAACAAACGTCTCTCGTAGTTTACTACCTCAGAGTTTACTACTATTATATTTCTCTATGGCTTGACGTTTGTGTCCAAATTCAGAACATAGAGATTCAGAATCGTAGAGAGTATTTAGAGAGTAGTGCTCTTTCCACCTCTCCCTGATTTGTGGATCTTCTGTCAGGTGATCCCCGTTGGCACCTTTACGGGGCAAATATTTCGATAAGTAAACCCGGACACTAGTTTTACAGCGTTATAAAAGTTTTGTTGGTCGTGTTGATGAGCGAACTACTCGATCTCTTGGGCCTTAGATGTCCATCACGCGTTTTTTGATGGATCGTATTTGTTTCTTGATTTATTGGAATTTTCTCTGTACACCAGGATCGTTTGGATTATTTTGCAGGGCCTGCAAAGCGTTATGTTCAGTGTCTATGGGATGTCTTCGATGAGTTCGCTGTTATTGTTAAACCAGTATGAGGACGTCGGCGTAAGCTAGTTTTTCCTAAAGTTGCTTCGCTGGTCTTATGTATAGTATATCGCGTAGTTCTGACCTAGATGCGTTATTGTTGACTGGAAGTGATGTTACCTTTTGTTCAGATTCAGTGGTGGTCTTTTGACATTTTCAGGCATTCTTTTGTATCGAGGTTTAAGTTTCAGCGACATATTAGAAAGAACAAGTCTATGGTCCGTCCTGTTTTCGATGAACGGTATAGCTTTTATGATATTTACCTCTCTTAATTGTGACTTTTTTACGATTAGATAGTCAATCAAGTGCCAATGACCAAACCTATGGTGACCCCATATTCTTCTTTTTCTGACGAAAATATCCTGTTGGTAATGACGGGTTTATGCTCAGCGCATTTTGCCAATAACAGTTCTCCAGTTGAGTTACAGACGCAGTTGTTAATTCTGTTTGTGCCGATTACTCCGAGACAGAGCTCAGCTTGACGACCATCTTTGGATTGAAGTCACCAAGCAAAATTATCTGGGTGGTGTTTGGTAACATAATTATCTGAGGGTATCTTCCAATTGTTCATAGAAGGTCTTTGATGTCTTTTTCCGAGTCTAGAGTTGGCATGTGAGCACTTATTACGTTGACATAGGTCTGATCAGGTAGATGTTCTAGATGCTTTGAGGAAGTTCAGTGAGCATTGGGATACTAGGTCATTTTTGACGGCGAAACCGACACCATGGATTTTATGGGAGCCAGTTGGGAATTTTTTCGAGAAGAAGTTGTACTTGTTACCTATAAGGCTACCGTCTTCTAGAAATCTGGTTTCGCTTAGAACCGCGATATCGATGTTCAAGCGACAAAGCACGTGGGCGATGGTTGCTCTCCTTCTTTCAGCGTGTTCTGATGTGTTTTTGTCTTCGAAAGTTCTTACGTTCCAGATTGCAGAGTTAAAGGAACTCCTCTATAGAAAAATGTGAATATTGAGCTAAATTATTATCAGCTAAAAGTACTGGAATGAAGGTGACATTAGTGAAATTCCATTCGCGAATTTTTTAGTTATCAGCAAGTGTTGCAAAGATTGTGCTCAAATTCCCCAATTTGAGAGATCTATAACAATATGTATGACTCCTTTTTGTATTCCTTCAATCAACGGTAACAACATTTGTTTTAAGCCTAAGAATAACTCAGGGATAACCCAACCTGTATGAACTAAAAAAATATGACAGAACTGGAACAGAAATAAGAAAATCAGTTCTGTCAAATCACTTGCATAGAGTGACTCATTTTCTAAATAAAATCCCTTGTCTCATATGATATACAAATCTGTGTCAAGGGCTTTTGTGCATTATTTCAAATAATCTACTTTCTGTTGAATGCTTTTTATAGCGGATACATTTACCATTTTAATGACTATACTAGTTCACACAACACAAAACAAAATGCATTTTCGTCGCTATTCAATTGGATTTAATTCTAGGTTGGATCCTACCGGTAGAGGCAAGGGCGAATGCGAACTGATCGACTTACCTCTGACAAAAATCGACATCGACAGAGAGACCGTCAGAGATCCGGATTATGATTTTTATGTTAGAGATCGAAATGCGGCTCAAGTCAATTGTCGACAATTACCTAGTGATAATAGTTATGGTGGTGGTTACGATTATGGCGAAGGTGGTAATAGGAGAGGGGATGATACGAGAACACCTTATGGTAAGAATTTTATGTTGATTTTTTGGGCAGGTAATTTTAAATCAAGTTACTGCAAGCTGATAAAGGGACAGTGCAATTCTTCAAACGATTTTATTTAAATTCTAGATCGAAGGCCAATAGAAACAGCTAGACCACTCAGAAGACCAACTCAGGATCGTTGGGATGGAGACTATGGAGATCGAAGACCACCCCCACCATATTTACCTGAGGATAACCGTAGACCAGACTATGGAAATAGACGAGGAGGTAAATATCTACTACCACAATCGTTTATTTGGGATGTTTTGTGTGTCACATAAGCGACAATTTGTTTGAGAAATTTAGCACTTTTTGTAACACAGAACAAAACAATTTGAAAAAATTATTTTATTCTGTGCTTTAGTTATTAAATATGTACAAATTTTTGTTCAAAAATATGCACTGCCTTTAAAATATTATTCAATTGACTCGAAACCTTTTCAAATTAGGACTAAAGTAAAGAAATTAAATCTAATTTTTTTTGTTTTATTTCTTTCTTTTTCAGACTACTCATTCCATCACTCACACGAATCACATAGTAGTAACAGTTACCATTACAATGAACACTCACTAGATAGAATAAGTGATCATCATCAGCAGACAAGACCCATTCCCGGAATCCATTACCTACCCGCTTCTTATGAGGACAGATTCATTCCTCTACCGCCGAAAAAGTATCCTGTTATTATTCCTTTGGACGATCCTCGGTATCCCAAAGATCCTTTACCTTCTAGATATCCTGGAGATTATGAAAAATGGGGCTCTTATGGTGATAAATATAGGTAGGGATTTTTTTTGAAAAATGTTTTTGGCACATCTCTTTGTTAATATGCACAAAAAATATCGGTGTTTGGGTTACATGAGTTATTCAGGTAAGTACATATTTGGATTTTTTTATTTTACTTAGGGATTTTTCTTCCACAGATTTTAGAAAATAGTGCAAATTCCAATTGAAAGCTATATTTTAAGGAAGCTGAAAACTACTTGTTAGAAAAAATCATATTTTCAGATATGGTCTCAACCACCACCGCAATAATTACTACATACCTCCAAAACCACTAAAACCTGAAATTCCTGACGATTGGGGCCGTTACGGTGGTAATTATGGTAATGGGGTGTCATTAGAATATCAGGGTTACCACAATAAACAAACGTATAATTATTGGGGATTTAATAAATTGGACGAAGAAAGAAGACCCTTTCAGTGAGATTTTTCTTAACTCTTGTTTATTGACTTGCAAGTTAATTTTTCTTATAGTTATGGTTCCGATTTGTTACCACCTAGAAGGTATTTGCCAACAGAAAAACCACATATAGCCGAGTCCTATTTACCATTACCACGACCAAATAATAATGGCTGGTCTGGTGGGTACGATTTAGATAATAATATTTTTCCTTTGGAACCTAGAAAGCCTGATTTTGTTAAGGATGGTAAGAACCAATAAATTTAACAATAGAGGCTCTCTATAGAATTTATTTCTAGAATGTTCTTTACGAAGTGCCACAGGCTTTAGATTACACAAAGGCATTGTGAAAAAGTTCCTATTTGTTCCAAACATTTACGAATGTGAACTTTTATGTGTTAAAGAAAAAGATTTTCCATGTGCTTCATATGCTTTTAAGTGAGTATTTTATTTGAAGTTTGAAAACTATTTACAAAAATCATTGTAGATACACAATAAATCCCATCGTCTACAATTGCTATCTCAGCAACAGAAATTACAAAGAACTCGATTATTACACCGATGTGGAACCTGATAGGGATTTTGATATTTACACAATGAATAACAGAAACAGATGTCAGGAACCTGTATTGTTTTCAGGACGACAAAATAGCGGTAGGGATTTTCCACTAACCCAACCCATTTTATTATTAATGGTTTGTTTTCAGATTGTTTTTGGCGAGTTCGGAGTGGCCAAAGACTCGACCACTCAGTAGTCAGAGATTCTCTTAGTGTAAAAAACATCGTCGATTGTCAGTTGGAGTGTTTAAATTCCAGACGGTTCACTTGTAGAGCGTATAGCTTCAGGTCAGAAACCTTAATTTAAAATATAAAAAATCAAATATTCTTTTATCAGGTATGGTATTCCAGTTGTGGGTGGTGCCATAGACAATTGCCAGCTGACAGATTGGCCTTTTTACGAACTGGATCCAAAAATTCATTTCGTTCCGGAACCTGATTTTGAGGTTTACGAACGTGGTAGTTATGGACACGGCTGTGAACCGGATCATTTCGGTATTAGAGGAAAGATTCCTCCTGTGAGGGATAGTGATAAAGTTGATCAGTGTAAGTAGTTACAATTTGATTTCTACTGAACTTGAGTGAGCTCTTGCTGGTCAAAAATTGAACAAACTATTACAAAGAAAATCATTTTTTTAGTGTGCTACATCGGATTCGGATCAGCAGCAAAACTACTACCCAGAGCAACCATAAAATCAATCTACGTTCCAACAGAGCTAGATTGCAAGGAAGAATGCTCGAAAGCCAGAGAGAGTGTTGCTTTTAGGTGTATGTCTTTCAGTTTTGTGTGAGTACCTAATCTTTGTTCAACGATCATTGACTACCAAAATCGATATGTTGATTAATGTGTTCATTACATCTTGTATGTTTATTATGTACTAATTAAAACTTACATTGACCCACTTATGTACAGATCATCACACTGAACTTATATCATCACTTTTTCAGCACTGATGGACCAAAAATCGGTCACAATTGCTACCTCAGTGACATAATGCAAAGAGACCTACTACCTAATGTCGACTATGTCCACGATCCAAATTCCTGGTTGTTCACTTGGGACAACTACAATCCAAAATGTATAGAACTTGCTTATAAGCCATCATCTGCCAATAATTTTGTTGGTCACAGTGATAGTGTGCTAAGAGAGAATAGTTATGTAGAAAAATATGGTTTAGGTGAGTTGACTCTTCCAAACTCCAGTCAATTATTATTGTATCTTGTGTTCATTTTAAGGACTTACCGGTAAATCCTTGAAATGGAGACACTTTATGCGAATCTTCATAATCTACAAAAGAATCATGATTTAATTTCTTAGAGAAAGTCACCATAACATGATTATGAGATAATAAAAATCGTCTCTTTAGATTATATTAATCCTTTGGATGTTTGGAGAGTCTACAGCGTTAGTGGTTGGCCCTGCAAAAGAGGAACCCTCTGCAAAGAAAATCGCGAAGCTGGATTTTGGTACTGCGAACTAGAATCAGGAGACAAGGATGCTTGGGACTATTGCTGCAGCCCGGATCATCACTGTGGCTTTTCAAACGGATATCCCTACTCATGGTAAAAGCATTTTTAAGCGTAACAATTATTTTAAATACTTACTACTTTGCAGGTGTTACGTTGGTCCTACAAAAACCCAATGGCGCAAATGCAACGACCAATATTATCCTTACAACCACAATACCTTAGATAGATTTGACAGTGTCAGTAGACCTTGGCACACTTCCGGCCATTTTCCACCGCGACCGCAAACTCCTGGGTACAGACCAGACAGGCCCAATGCACACCCTAAACCAGTACCATCCAAACCTACCTTGGATCAATATGAGGAGGAATTCGACAATGAGTTTTTGAGTCCACCAAAACCTGGTGGTTTTGGACCACCCAGACGTTGGCCTGTGGCTTATCTTCACAAGGAATTGCCTCCAAATGCCACTACTAGAATGGAAAAGTCATCCGAAGACACTAAACTATCAGCAATCAAAAGCCTCATTGACGTAATTAAGAACACCGAAATTCAAAATGTACAATATCACATATCAAATGATTCAAAACATAAGGCTGATGATGTGCTGTATGTGAAAATACCTTTGCCAAATTTCGATGATGGATTTAAAAACGATACGACTCAGAAAGCATTAAATGAACTGAGTAGCAACACTTCGGTGAACTTTGAAAATGTTGAACGAAGTAGAGTACAAAAATCACTGCCGTTACGTCAAGCACTGCCAGAGTTTACGACTCAAAAGTTATTTTCAAGTAAAATTTCGCCGGTAAGGAAAGGATTTGTTACCAGAACAAACATAACCAGTATCAGGAATTTTAGGTCGTTGTGAAACTTCTTGGATACCTACATGCAGGTACAGGGTGTTTGTTTATAACTGGAACACTCAATAACTTTTTTAATATTGAGAATAGAGGGCACGTTTAAATTGGAAAATTTCTTTGTAAATTGCAATGATCTTAATCGCTACAATGAGATTTTTTTGTCGCCATAAGTATACAGGGTGCGCCAAAAAAGTCATTTTTTCAAATGGAACGCCCTGTATATTTTTGCATTTTTGAAATTCTTAGAAAGTTAGCTTCACAAACATATCAAATAATATTTGGATAACAAAAATATACAGGGCATTCCATTTAAAAATAATACCTTTTTGGCGCACCCTGTAAACCTATGACGACAAAAAAATATCATTGTAGCGCTTAAGGTTGCAATTTACCAAGAAATTTCCCAGCTTAAACATGCCCTTTATTTTCAATAATATAAGAAAGTTACTGAGTGTTCCAGTTATAAACAAACACCTAGTACCATTAAGTTTCTTAAGAGATTATCGGTTGTTTTTTTTTTTTTAATGTAATTTGCTTAATATATATATTTTTTTTAAAACATTTACTTCTATTTGTATTTCTAATCTTCTGTAAAAGCTACTTTCCAACTGTTAATAAGGCAATCTTCTCTTTAAGTCGCACCTGTTAATATCCATGCCTATAAATCTGAAGTTGAAAACCACTTGGAACCTGACAGGATGTTGAAGTTATTGTCAATTCGTGGGTAGAGCTATCTTTTTTTGTGACATCATTGTGATTACAGCTGTCCTGCCCCTCTTTTTTTCAAACATTTCGGCTTCGAATCTCACAAATAATTCAAAGTATGAAGTTTGGAGGTTCCCAAATGATCATTTGAAACCCAAATTTCAACATTAAAAAATTTGAAATTTCATCATTTTTGCAATTTGGGGTGATATTTTCTTTTTCAATCTCTTTACCTCCTTTATTCAAATATTTCGGCTTTAAATCTCATAATAATTTAGTGTATGGAGCTTGGAGGGTGTCGAAGGATCGGCTGAACACAAAAAATTTTCAGTGCCACTGAAGCCAAAGACATGGGTGTTATCAGGCGGTTTCAGTTGAGGTGTCAGTGAATATTCAGAGGTTACGCCCCACTTTTCTTCCCCCTTTCGTCTCTATTAAGTTACCACTTGCCAGACTGTACTAAGGTAAGCTACGTCCTACCTTATAGTTTAGATTTTTGAAAACTTTGATAGATAACTTGTTTTCTATTATAGATAGAAAGCTGAAATTTTCAGCGATTTTTATCCTCGTGGAGAATTACAATTCCTGAGCCTGTTTCATTTTTTTTGCGGACAGCAAATTATAAGAAAACTCTGCATGAGTGAACTTATAGAACTGGCTATAGGTACATAGTACAGGAAAAGGAGATAAACCCCTTGTAGACTGTAGATTGTGGGGGAGTCGTTTCGGCTTTTTAGCCGCTTAGCACTGCTACCTTTGCAGATATTTTGTACGTGACTATCTACATCTCAAGTTGACTCCAGGAAGCGTAGACTTCTGCCGAATTGGGCTGGACATTCGCAGAGTAGGCCTCTATTGCGTCTGAGCAGAATCTGCAGAGATCGTCTTCTGCTCTGCCCATTAACCTTGAAAGGTATTTTACCAGTCAGTGTCCTGTGAGCAGTCCTACCACCAATCTGATGTCTGGTCTGGACCATTTAGAAGATTTTCTGATTGCGATTTTTTTTGAAGGGACAAATGCCTATTGCATGATTTAGGATTTCGGAAAAAGCAAAATGAAAAAGCCATTTTATAAGGTTATAGATAACCTGATTTAAAATCATGATAAAAGAAGTTTGCTTGTGAACTGACTTGCTCTGAAAATACCCCAGAGAAATTAGACCAAAAAAAGGGCTATCTGCGGAATGAGGCCGAACAAGCTGAATTTTTGCAGAGACCTTCGTTTTGATGTTCTAATGAAACACAAAAAAATCAAATATGCCTACCCTTGGGCGTGTTGAGATATCGAAGGTCAAAGGTCACGAAAATCGAGTTTTTGCGAAAATCTCGCTTCCAGTGCATCTGACGTCGAAGAACCCAAAACAAAACTTACGTAAAATAGTATTTTCTACAAAATTATACCTATACATTTTTGTACGACCAACCGTTTTCGAAATATAGCGTGAAGCAGAAGCGCGCATTTAAAATAGGTGATACTGTATTATACAGGGTGTCCCCGTTAAACTGGTCAAAAATGCTAGGGTATATAGAGGAATCATAGAGAAGTAATTTGAGATAAGACAGCAATGGTCGGAAGTGCGTCATTCTCAAAATACAGGGTGTTGAAATTTAAACAACCCCCTTTCATATCATCCGAAGGGCTAATGCTAGAGGCTGTTCAAATTTTCAGGGATTATTGATGTAAGTATGATATTTGAAAATTCGTATGATGCACCCCCATTTTCTACCTGGAACCATCCCAAAAAAAAAAATAAGAAATACCTAAAATTTGAAAAAAAAAGGATTTTTTTTCAATTTTTTTCTTTTTTTAGGGTAGTTCTAGGTAGAAAATGGGGGTGCATTATACGAATTTTTAAATTTGAACAGCCTAGCATTAGCCCTCCAGATGATATGAAAGGGGGTTGTTTAAATTTCATCACTCTGTATTTTGGAAACGACGCACTTCTGACCATCGGTATCCTATCTCAAATTACTTCTCTATATGGTTCCTCTATATACCCTAGCACTTTTGACCAGTTGAACGGGGACACCCTGTATAATACAGTATCACCTATTTTGAATATGCGCTCCCGCTTTATCACGCTATATTTCGAAAACGGTTCGTCGTATAAAAAAATGTATATGAACAATTTGTAGAAAATACTATTTTACGTAAATTTTAATTCAAGTTCTTCGACGTCAGATGCATTGGAAGCGAGATTTTCGCAAAAAAAACGATTTTCGTGACCTTTGTCCTTCGACATCTCAAGACGCACAAGGGTAGGCATATTCGATTTTTTTGTGCTTCATTAGAACATCAAAATATGAAGGTCTCTGCAAAAATTCAGCTTGTTCGGCCTCATTCCGCAGAAGAAGTCTAATTTCCCTGGGGTAAAAAGGTCATGACAAAAGGTGAGGGGTGGGTGGTGGTTGTCAATTTTAACAATGGTATCACAATGCCTAACATTAAATATACTAGAAGAAAAAACTAAGTCTAATATAACGTTGTTTTTATTTCTAATTTCATTTAATTTGAAAATTCCATGATTTGCACACATATCAGATACCGCACTTATATTTATACTCCCCATAGTTTGTGGGGAAATGTATACATCATTCCGTGCCAGAGCCATTGAACAATTTTTTGAGCAAATCCAATTTACTTTTGGCAAGTTGAAGTCACCGACCATACATATTTGTGCAAGGGGGCATTTCGCATGAGCAAGGTCCAGACACTCACCGGTTTGTATGTAGGTACTTCTCAGGGGGAGAATTGGGTGGGCGGTAGATGCAGCCAAGGATTTGTTGTACCCATGCACCAGAACAATCAGCTCCAGTTCTGTACATGCAGGTACAAGGTATAATGAAATAGATTTACGGATCACCGGATCTAATAACTTTGTGCGATTTAGGTCCGTGAAGTTGGCCCCTAAAGTGTTAATTTTTTTTTCTGAAAATATCTTTTTTGTAAGTGCTTCGTTAGTGCTTCTTAGTACTTCAATTGTTTTCGTTAGTGCTTATTCCGTTTTCTGTATATCAATTTTTTTGTAATTTCAAGGTCAGCCCTGACAATCTGTCAAAATGGAGAAAATTTATAACTATGTTTTAGTGCTTCGTGAGTGCTTCTTAGTGCTTTAAATGGTTTCGAAAGTGCTTTTCTAATTTTTTAGATATTTTAGTTTTTAACTTCAAGGTCAGCCCCCATAAATTTTCCGAATTACTCAATTTTGGTGTCATCTTTTAGTGCTTCGTTAGTGCTTTTTAGTGCTTCAAACAGTTTCATTCAAACATATTTCCTTTCCGAGAAATTAAACTGCCAATTTTCAAGGTCAGTCCTCAAATCATATCGGATTTAGTTAAATCTAGAGTCGTCTACTTGTATATTATCACCACAGCCCTTATTACTTTTTTTTGTGATACCAATGCACTATAAAATTGAGATGGAGAATGTGACGGATACCAAACTCTACTTATCTTATTGGCGACTTATGTAAATCTTTCCTTGTCTAAGAGATATAAGGTCTGTTTCTGTAGAAATTACAAACCACTCAGAGCGAATTTCATTGGTTGAAACTAGTTTTCTGACTGTTTTCAACCAATGAAATTCACTCTGACTGGTTTGTGATTTTTGCAGAAACAGACCTATTGCATTTGAGGTTAGGAACATACCAACTCCAACAGCAATGATTATCAGCATCTTCTACTATTTTAGATGCTTTTAGCAGGACACTTTTGGAACTAAATTAATATAAAAGAGAGAGAGAGAGTGCCCCTTATATCTTGTTTGCTATAGTATAAACTAATTTTTGCTTCTTCAGTGGCAGTGGCGTCCCTGTGTTTCCTGTACATTTGGAATAAGTTTGGGCTTCTGTGGTTTGGGTGCCAATTTTAAAATAAAAAGTACTAAATAATCAGAATACGGAAAGGGCATTAGGAAAACTATCTGCAGCACTATAAAGCACTAACAATGCGCAAAAAAACGACTCTTAGATTTAACTTAATCCCATATGAATTGAGGGCTGACCTTGAAAATTTAAGGTCGAATATCTCAAAAAGAAAATATTCTTGGATGCAACTGTTTGAAGTTTTAAGAAGCACTAACGAAGCACTAAAACTGACACCAAAATTGAGTAATTCGGAAAATTTTTTGGGGCTGACCTTGAAGTTATAAAATTTAAAATATTTAAGAAATTAGAAAAGCACTGTCGAAACAATTTGAAGCACCAAGAAGCACTAACAACAACACAGTAACAAATTTCGTTCATTTTGACAGATTGTCAGGGCTGACCTTGAAATCATAAAAAAATCAATTTACAGAAAACGGAAAAAGCACTAACGAAAACAATTAGGGACTAAGAAGCACCAAAGACGAACTAACAAAAAAAAATATTTTCCCAAAAAAAATTAACACTTTAGGGGCCAACTTCACGGACCTGTGTGATTTCTATCTATGGCGAACAATAAGGAATGAAATATATAAGCAACGGCCGGAAAATCGATAAGATCTAGAAGATGCTTTATCTGAATCCTTCAATAGACTACGAAATATATAGACTTGATCAAATGCTTCGTGGAATACATACAAATAGGTACATACATACTTACATAAAATAAATTAAATACGGCTCTGCCAAAAATGAGTAAGTTTGCTTTTCTCTTCTCTGTAAATGTAAAGTTAGTTTTTAATCAATGACACTTTCACCCTTCTTAAGCTAGATTTTTCAACTCTGAATTATTTGCAAATTTATTTATTATTTCTTTAGTCTTATTTATCTACTAAAAAAAAAACGAATTCCAACCTTTTTTCAAATTTGGGCGCAATTTTTTTAGGTTAGTCCCGGACAGAGACTTCTTTAATGGGATATATAATTAA